GAACACAGTGGTAGTCAAAGAAAGGAATCAGTAGAATTTAGATAAAGCTAAATGAGAACTGCAGAACAAATTAAATGAAAAATTATTCTACCATATCATCTGGGCAAGGATTTTTTATGAATCCTAAGACATAGAGATTTGAAAATTTTTATCAGAGACCCACAGCATTTTATCTCTTCTAATAATAATAAGAGTAGTCATAGCAATATTAGTTACCAACTCTTGAGTACTTGCTATATTCAAAATGCTGGCAATTAGCAAGCAGCTAATGTAATCAGAATTATACTTTTGAAAGATCTGGTGGGAACTATACTGTAGAAAGAATAGAAAGGAGCAGGAAAAACGAAGATATTTTCTTCACTAAGACCTGAGTGAATAGCATGGAATAGGAGGTAACAGTTGAGATGAAGGGAAGTGAACAGATACAAGAAATGGTTAGGAGGTAAAATTGCAAAATTTGTATTGATTTGTCAGAGTTCCCCATGGGATAGAAGGAGAAAAGGTGATGCCCCATGGTTCTGTCTTGAGAAGCTGTGTAGATAAACGGTGCTACTTCATGTCCTGGACAGGTTAGGTGTGAGGTTCTAGAGAAAGCTAAATGAGAAGTCAGTAGACGTTTGATCCTGTTTGAGGTTCCAGAGAAAGTTAAATGAGAAATCAGTAGACGTTTAAGCTAAGGAGACACTTTTGAGTATGAGATTTGAAATTCATCATTATTTAAATGGTATTTGATACCTAGAGAGTGGATCAGACCATCCAAGGAGGATGTAATTAGAGTAAGAAGAGCTCATATAATTTCACCTTATCATTTAGGAAACCTCTGAGGTAGGCTGACAAACTGAAGCTCAGATAGAATTCAGATAGAAGCTCAGATAGAATTCAGTAAGTGATTAGTCAAGAACTCAACCCCATATATGTTTGATTTCACAGCTAACACTTTCATCCATAAACTAGACTATAATTTAGTTCTTATAATTTATGATTGTTAACTTACATAGTATAACATGTATACAGCTTTTATGCTATAATTTACAGTGAGTTACATGTAATTATTTTCTTTTCAGCTTAAGTTTTGAATAAAAAATTCAGGTTTTCTTATAACTAAATATTTGACCTGAGCAGTTCTATTTCAAACAAATTACTAATACCAAGATATATATTATATTAATTTACTTTAAAAGGATTTATTTATTCCATCTCTGTGTGCTGCTCTCTACATGTTGAGCACAAAAAACAACCAACTATGCTTAGATTAAAAAGAAGGAAAGACTCTCTATGGAGGTCTTCACAAAACTGGAAGACATAACTCTTATAATAACTCTTATAAAGCAATAGTGAACAGACTGTATAATAAGTAACCAAGTTGTTTGTAATGTTCCCCTTAGCTTGACTAAACTTTAGACAGGTTTCTTTCTGACTGTATGCCCCTAACCTCCATTATCTTAGAGTATTTGCTTTCCAAATTTTTAACTGTGAATTTTTTCTCTGTTCATTTAAAATATACATAAATCTTCCAGCATCTTAGGAGTCTCACAACTCAGGAAATATCTTTGAAAGGAACCTGAGAAATATCTCTTTAAAGGGTAAGCAATGAAGGAGAAAGCACCCCATGTCCTAGTCCCTGTTCAAGGATAGGGTCCTTACTTAAGCGGGTACTTATTAGTTAACATAGATGGCCTAATCACAAATAAAAACATTTGCAAATTCAGAATAACTCAAGGTGCTCTAACATTCCAAATCCCATTGTTCAACCTGTCTCCCTTCTCCAGTACCACCCAGTACTTTTCCATTAGCTCACCCTAGCACTAAAACACTCTCTCTCCTATTGCAATAGTCTTGAAATAAGTCTTCTTTGCCTGTTTAACTTCAGTGCAATTTTTACTTTGACATGAAGTTTTAAACATTATTTCAGACCACGGATGATAGCCAGAAGTGTCAGAGAAGCCCTAACAGAGAAGAGAAGAGAGGACTGCTACAGTCCTTGGATCCCAGCTGAGATTTAGCTTCTCAAAAATGGAAAACACCTCCTAATTAACAAAAAAATCTAAGTGAAAGCACAAAGGTATAAATGACCACACAAAGCTACAGAACAGTGAAGAAGAACCTGTTCTAAATCAGGGAGGTGTATCTGTACCCACTAGATGCCAGTGGCCCTCCCCTAGTTATGAAAAACAAAAATGTGTCCAGACATTGCCAAATGTCCATGGGGGGAGGGGGGCAAAATCACCCTGTTTGAGAATGAATGGAATAGATTGAAATAAAGCTTTTATATGTACATAGGTACTATGTTTCCTCCTATAGTTCTGATTCCCATATCAGTCTTTCAAATGATCAGTCTTTCAAATGATCTATTTTTGTAAGTCATATATAGTCCATGGCACACATAAATGTGAAGTAAAACAATTACTTAATTGAAATATATTAACCAGTTGGCACAGCTAAGAAAAAAGAGCTACCAGTTATTCTATTAATTCCTTCCTGTACTCATTAAATCAGATGACTGGATCATTTGAATATATTCACTAAGTTTGATTCTGCTGTTGGGCCTGAAGCGTCAGAAATACTTCCACACTTATCAGATAAGATGTGTGAATGTTTGTAGAATAAGTGAATTCACAGTTGTCAAAGTTCCTCAAATTTTTTTCATGGATATTTGTAACCACTTTTCCAAGTAACTTATTTTTACTTTTGCAATATTCAGGCTAACTTCTGATTGGGTGTAGAATTATTTTTTCCCTTAGGATGCTTTCCTTCAAATCAGATAGTCATCATGTTATAAAGGGCTTTCGAACAGTGATTTAACATTGCTTACTATCTTTGTTTACCAGGATGGTTTACAAAAAAATCTCAGTACCAAAAGGTTTTTCTCTGTTAGAATTTAATCTTCATGCCGTGAAAAGATGGTTTAAAGTTTACTTTTTATCAGATAAACACAACTTTTTATGTCTATAAAGTGGTTCTATATATTTTAACAAACTCATGCAAAATTCTGAATTTTTCAACATTTCAGTCAAATTAAGAATATAAAATCTCAAATATTAGTAGTAAAATTTTTGCTTTTCGAAAGACCCCTTTTGTTAAGTGTAGTTTGGAATAATGTTCCATTCAGAATAATAGTCTAATCTTTGTTGGGAATTAATGTCAATGTCGTTAAACTGGCTATACTGCTGACTGTGAGCAGGATCGCTAATTATTACAAAGAAGGGGCACGTAAATGCAAATAATGTAGAAATGATTAGGCCCCGTAGCAGAACTAAAATATTCCACCAAGAAATAAAACCACATCAGCAGCTCTTAGGTGTGGAGATTGGAGATTTTTGGCTACCACTACAGAAATATTTTGGAATTTGTTCATATGTAGTTCAAATGATACAATTCCAGGGCCAATAAAGCCCTTTCACTTAGGGAAATGATAAGCTTTTTATTTTTAATTTTTCCAGTGTTTTGAAATAAAAACTGTACTTCCCGCTGTTTGTATACAAATGGTTTGTTATATAGTTTTGGAATAGAACATTTAGAGCTACATGAGAAACATTTGGCAAAGAGTTGTGTGAGAGAACTGTACATTATTTTTCAGAGCAAATGAAAATTCATGTCTGATACACTGGCCCCTTAAGTCTTGATATACCCAAATTGGAACAGTTGTATTGTCTTCTTCCATACAAGGGAAATGAGGTCTTCTTGAAAAAAAAATCACTTACAGACAGAATAGTCTATGTACATGTTCTGAAATGGTTGACCTTGAATCTTGTTCATTAAAATGATCATCAGTAATTTTGTATTTTTGATTTTTGGGGATATTATATAAAATGGATAAAATGGAAGGGATATTTAATTATCAAAATTATGTTCCTTAACAATTCATGGAAGAAAAAATTTCGTATGTCAAAAAAGAAAAACCATTCAACCTCTAAATAATCGAAGAAAGGCAAATTAAAATTTCTCATCTATCAAAGTAGAAAACACTTCCAAAATCATGCTAAATGATGTGGAAAATGTGAAGAGATGGGCATTTTTTTTCCCTGCCACTGTAATAATCTATACAAACTTCCTGACCTAGGGACATTTTGCCAAATAGATTCTAAGAAAACAATCAGAGATTTAGGCAACTTTTTCTAAAGGTGATTGGGATTGCATTATTAGTTCCAGAATACTGAACTATATTTTAGTTTATTTTTTGATAGTATATTATTGAGTCATTAAAGTCATTCATTCGGTATGTTTAGTAACAAACAACAAAGTTATTGATATGAATTTAAGTGAAAAACCTTAATAAAGGCTTATGATTGCAAATTTTCAAAAGGAAAGTTAAAATTTTATAAACAACAGCAAAAATTTTCTCAGTGCTAGCAATGATTATATTTCTTAGTGAATATAAAAGGTGGTGTTTGATCCTTGTAGATGTTTTTTTCTAAAATTTAGAAAATTGATTAATTATTTTTAAAAGTGAAAGTAAACATTTGATAAGAAAACTTATTGTATGTTTAAGTGAAAGTCTACTTTGTGCCAAGAAAAGTTATTCGATTTCCAGGAGAGGTTTAAACCTGGGCTTATAGGAGCTCATTTCAAAGTCTTTGAAAGCTGGGCTCCAAAAAGAATAGTCTGCATTCTTTCCAAATATAAACAGACAAAAAACAATAACTGCCTGCTTGCATGGCCCAGTTTCTGTTTGTTTATTTGAATCTTTAGCGTGTACCTGGGGAGTTAGTATGGGGTCTCATTGCCTGTCGTATTTCCATATCTAACGTTGATGTACAGTTTTTATTTCTGCACAACACAGCTCACAGAAATAAGTAATTGAAAATAGAAGATGCATTCTTACATGTTACTCAGTTATTGGGAAAAACTGAGTTGCATGCCAAAAATTAGTGATTTTTCATGAAAAATTATTTTTAATGATTGAGCAACTAATAAACTATGCCTTTTCTCAGTGTTCTTCAACAAAGAATTGGCAACCAACTGAGATAATACAAAGGGTTGAACTGTCCAATCAGACTTACCAATATCACAAGTCTTGTCCATATCCAGTTTTCCTAATAATTTCAAGAATACTTCCCATACACAGGATGGGGTGGTCCTGAACCCCTGGAACAGCTTACTAAACTCCTTCTGGATCTGACATTCTCTGAAACAGATTAACATAGAAGGTTCATAAGGAGAGTTTATGGTCACTCTGCTCACACAAAAGTAGCCACTTTGTCATGGAACAGCTCCATTTTATACTCAGATATTGCATTTAGTTAATGTGACATTTTTCCAGAGAACTTGGCCCTGTAAGTCCATGGATTGCCAGTTTGTCTGTCACAAGCAATCCTAGACAACCAGGAATATTCTGCTAAAAGCATCCCATGACTAAGAGCTATCTACCAAAGATACATGGTTAATTTGTATGTCACAAGGTCTGTTATTAGTATGTTCACAAAGAAATCAGACTAAGTTACCTGCTCTTTGCATTCCCAAGACCCATCCACCTACAAAGGAAAGTGATGGACTGCAGACTTTGCTGCAAAAGTGAAAAAACCATCGGACATATCACATAATGGGAAAGACCAGTTGTTCCCTGACAAAAAAATCACTCAAATTATACTTCCTCTTTGAAAGTTTTACTTCTTTTTTCAGTTAAAGCAAACATGTTAATAGCATTCACTTTGCCACCACCTCATTTGTAAATGTACATTATAAAGATGCAACTTGAAAGTCCTACAGTTAATAATATTTACTGTTTTAAGGCAAATCCTAAATTAATGTTAATTTGGACTCAATTTAATTTAATTTTTTTTGCAATCAAACAGTTCCAAAATTGTAATATAACTTTAAAAAGTGATTATCTTAATAAAGCTACTATGGGGCCTAATTATTGCAGTATCCTCATATTTAGAGATAAAATACACAGTTGTGAAAATCCCCTCACCAATCATAGTCCTAGGAGGTCTTAAAGCAAATAACAATTAGATTTGATCTCTTTGTTAGAACAGTATATAAAAATGATTAACTGGTTATGATAGGAAATACCTATGATCTGATCAAACTAAAAGATCTATATTTTATGTACCTTCATATTTGCCACCATCTGCCATACAATTTCTAAATGTTTGTGCACTCCATGATATACTTCATGAATTACAAGCCCTTAGGAAACAAGTGATGAGATAAGGAAGGACAAACTCTAACCTGACTGTTTGGTACTTTGGTTATAAAGGGCTCAACTGACATACATATTTTGAGTTATCTTTCTATAGTGTACTACTGCATTTTACCTAATTCTTGGAAATGCATCATAGTAATTTTAAAGATAGATAAGATAACACTTTTTTTTTTTGTAAAGTGGAGAAAAGAGATTATGAAAGGGAAGATAGAAAAAGAGAATGGCCAAGACATCTCTATCGTGAGTATTCTTTAGGTAGAGCAGTTTTAGGAAAGAACACATACAAAAGTTGGTGGCTACTCTGTGATATGACTTACAAAACTGCAATGACCCAGTTTGATGACCACTATGTTAAAGAATTAGAATAACTGACTGAATATTTTTAAATATATCTGACTAGATAATTCATAACTATTAGCACCTAAAAAATATTTCAGTTGTTCAGCAGAGCTCTGAGGGAGTTCTGATCTGCCTTTGACTACCTACAATGTGGGGAAGAAGGACCAGAGTGAGGAAAAGTACCAGAAATGAAGATGTATGACTTGATTACAAATTTACAGTATTTTGGGATTTTTTTTAGGTAATTAAAGCTAGTTGAGACTTTGAATTTTTTTGACTAAAAAGAATGAAGTTAAATCTTGGAGCTCAATGTCAGTGTCTGGTATCATACAACATAAAAGTGCCAATGTTGGAACTTTTGATTACTGTCCAATGTTTAATTAAATAATATCCATAGAAATGTACAATGTCTATTTATATGATCTATGTTCCATTTCTAGATATTATGGTATCTTTTCTTTTTGACAAAGACTATTTGGTAGTCTTTCAATTAAGATTTTGTCTAGTTCCCTTTCTCTCTCAAAAAGAGCTTGTATTATTGGATGCATAAAAATAGTTAACATGCAACATTTCCTACTTTGTGGTATTGATATTAGGCCCAGATTAAAGTATGTATTCTGGTACCTTTAATTTGAGAACTGATTACATATTAAATTAAGCAATCTAGATTGCTGTCCACTTTATTCAATTTAAAATGTTACAACAAAAAAGTTTAAAAATTGTCTAAAGAAGACAAATTCCCACTTTTCTATGCCACCAGTCATTATTCTGTTTCATATAAAACTTTGGGGAAAAAGTTTGCTTCTGCAATTTTGAACAATTCTGCTATTTTCTTTACCAATAAGAAGGAAGGATTTTTTATTCTTAATCATACACTGAAAGGAACTGACTTCTGCTGTTATCAGATTAATCTTACAATAGTTATTTCCTTGAGCAGCCATCAAATGCATAATATTAGCATAAACCCATAACTTTGCTTTTCACTTTGGCCAGTATTAAGATTATGTGCCATCTGATTCACAGGCAGGTTTACAAGCATCCATCAAGTTTAAATATATTTTAGACTCTAAAAATAAATGGCTCATCAGCTTTTTATTAACTCTTATGTCATGTATATTCAGACATATAGACACATGGTCAAAACAAACATCGCTTAATCTTACGGGAGTATGCAGGATTTAAATGGAATTTGTGTAAGATGTGCAACCATTTAGAAACTGGCAATAGTAGTAAAACACACAGTCTTGAAAAGAAAAGAAAAATATGATCGGGGATAAGAATTTAAATATCCATGTGTTTTGCAGATAAAAAGCTGATATATGATTGAATTTGAGGCTAAACTAAGTTATGATAGGAATGGACCTATATATATTTGTCCTTTATAGATAATAAATAGAGGTAGAAACACATGTAAGAGAATTGTTCTGAAATGTGAGTGTCCTTTCACATTTTCACTTCAATAATAATAGATGATGGTAACTTCCATTCTCAAATAACATCATTGCTATTAGTTACCCTAAGTATAATGAGAATCTTTGTAAAAAGATGCTCATTTAAAAAATAGTAATATTTTAAGAAAGTTGGAAGATATATCACATAGTCAGGACATCTGCTTGATTTAAACTATGCCATCTTTTTTCTTCATCTCAGACGGCAAAGGAGAATATATGAAGGAATTAATTCATTTGTTAACCTAATATATATCTGGTGTCCACCAGGCATTCTTCTAGATCCTGGACATGGACTGAGTTCAAAATAGACAAGATTCACAGCATTTGGTATTTATAATCCACTAGACAAGAGAGATAATAAATATGTAATTAAATAGATAATTACATTTCAAGTAATGTAAAGTGCTATAAAGACAAAAAAAAAGCCTATAGAAAGGAGAATAAAAAGAGGTGCGATGTTAATAAGTTAGTCAAGGAAGGTCCCTCCAAGAAGTGGCCTTGGAGCAGAGATCTAAAAGCTGTGCTACAGAAAGTCATGCTACTACCCAGGAAGTCTTTCAGAAGAAAACAGCATAATTCCTGTGAGGAGAAGCATGTCTGAGGAGTGGAAAGGAAGTCAATATAATGAGGCACACAGAAATAAAGAGAAAAAGGGAAGGAAATTAGGTCAGAGCAATAGCCAAGGGTAAGATTTGTAGAGTATTACAAACCACAGGAAGGACCTTAAATTTACAAAGAGATCCTAAGAAAATCTCAATTTCAAACATTTAAGGTAATCCCCAAATNTGGAAAGGGCAGAAAACGTCTTGTTCTACTGAGGTCAGCAACTTTTACAGACATTATAGAGATTAAAAAAAATTTTACCTAGAATTTAAAATTGAGACAAGACACTTCATATCTTATCTAAGCAATCTCTAATAAAATGTTTCTTTGTAATGATAACACATATTATGAATGCTGACTTGTCTGAGTACTGACAATGACAAGGCCCTGTTATAGGCATTTCTACATGCGCTAGCTTATTTAATCCTCTCATCTACCCTATGAGTTTGGTACAATACATATTATCACATCCATTGTAGAGGTGGGACTTCTGAGTCATAGGGAAGTTAAGCAACTTACTATATATTCCATTATAATAAGTGTTAGATCTTAAGGCAGTTGCAAGGCTGCCAACCCAGCAATAACCTGCAGAAATAGCCAGATTAAAATGTGTAGTTCTTAACCAACCTCTGGGGAGTTTTAGGTCAAGTAGTCTGAGCAGGGGTCCAGGAATCTGTGTAAAAATTTACTAGGGAGATTTTAGTGTAGTTGGGTTTAGGGATTACATATTGGACTCACTAAACTGCCATACCCAGAGGTACTGCTGTTGAAAGAGAACTGACATTGTAGAATTCATCACTGACACAGCTAGTAGAGAAATAGGTCTTCCACCTTACCCACTTCATCCTCAAACAAAGCAAGGGAAAGTATTGCTGAATATACTGACAACTAATCACACAAAGGCTAGGTACCCAAAGATTTAGCAATGATAAATCCACATAATTTGATGCAAAGTGTAATGTGAGCCTTGATACAGAAGTACAACATCCGGCACACACTAGTAAGGAAAAAAGAACACAGTGGTAGTCAAAGAAAGGAATCAGTAGAATTTAGATAAAGCTAAATGAGAACTGCAGAACAAATTAAATGAAAAATTATTCTACCATATCATCTGGGCAAGGATTTTTTATGAATCCTAAGACATAGAGATTTGAAAATTTTTATCAGAGACCCACAGCATTTTATCTCTTCTAATAATAATAAGAGTAGTCATAGCAATATTAGTTACCAACTCTTGAGTACTTGCTATATTCAAAATGCTGGCAATTAGCAAGCAGCTAATGTAATCAGAATTATACTTTTGAAAGATCTGGTGGGAACTATACTGTAGAAAGAATAGAAAGGAGCAGGAAAAACGAAGATATTTTCTTCACTAAGACCTGAGTGAATAGCATGGAATAGGAGGTAACAGTTGAGATGAAGGGAAGTGAACAGATACAAGAAATGGTTAGGAGGTAAAATTGCAAAATTTGTATTGATTTGTCAGAGTTCCCCATGGGATAGAAGGAGAAAAGGTGATGCCCCATGGTTCTGTCTTGAGAAGCTGTGTAGATAAACGGTGCTACTTCATGTCCTGGACAGGTTAGGTGTGAGGTTCTAGAGAAAGCTAAATGAGAAGTCAGTAGACGTTTGATCCTGTTTGAGGTTCCAGAGAAAGTTAAATGAGAAATCAGTAGACGTTTAAGCTAAGGAGACACTTTTGAGTATGAGATTTGAAATTCATCATTATTTAAATGGTATTTGATACCTAGAGAGTGGATCAGACCATCCAAGGAGGATGTAATTAGAGTAAGAAGAGCTCATATAATTTCACCTTATCATTTAGGAAACCTCTGAGGTAGGCTGACAAACTGAAGCTCAGATAGAATTCAGATAGAAGCTCAGATAGAATTCAGTAAGTGATTAGTCAAGAACTCAACCCCATATATGTTTGATTTCACAGCTAACACTTTCATCCATAAACTAGACTATAATTTAGTTCTTATAATTTATGATTGTTAACTTACATAGTATAACATGTATACAGCTTTTATGCTATAATTTACAGTGAGTTACATGTAATTATTTTCTTTTCAGCTTAAGTTTTGAATAAAAAATTCAGGTTTTCTTATAACTAAATATTTGACCTGAGCAGTTCTATTTCAAACAAATTACTAATACCAAGATATATATTATATTAATTTACTTTAAAAGGATTTATTTATTCCATCTCTGTGTGCTGCTCTCTACATGTTGAGCACAAAAAACAACCAACTATGCTTAGATTAAAAAGAAGGAAAGACTCTCTATGGAGGTCTTCACAAAACTGGAAGACATAACTCTTATAATAACTCTTATAAAGCAATAGTGAACAGACTGTATAATAAGTAACCAAGTTGTTTGTAATGTTCCCCTTAGCTTGACTAAACTTTAGACAGGTTTCTTTCTGACTGTATGCCCCTAACCTCCATTATCTTAGAGTATTTGCTTTCCAAATTTTTAACTGTGAATTTTTTCTCTGTTCATTTAAAATATACATAAATCTTCCAGCATCTTAGGAGTCTCACAACTCAGGAAATATCTTTGAAAGGAACCTGAGAAATATCTCTTTAAAGGGTAAGCAATGAAGGAGAAAGCACCCCATGTCCTAGTCCCTGTTCAAGGATAGGGTCCTTACTTAAGCGGGTACTTATTAGTTAACATAGATGGCCTAATCACAAATAAAAACATTTGCAAATTCAGAATAACTCAAGGTGCTCTAACATTCCAAATCCCATTGTTCAACCTGTCTCCCTTCTCCAGTACCACCCAGTACTTTTCCATTAGCTCACCCTAGCACTAAAACACTCTCTCTCCTATTGCAATAGTCTTGAAATAAGTCTTCTTTGCCTGTTTAACTTCAGTGCAATTTTTACTTTGACATGAAGTTTTAAACATTATTTCAGACCACGGATGATAGCCAGAAGTGTCAGAGAAGCCCTAACAGAGAAGAGAAGAGAGGACTGCTACAGTCCTTGGATCCCAGCTGAGATTTAGCTTCTCAAAAATGGAAAACACCTCCTAATTAACAAAAAAATCTAAGTGAAAGCACAAAGGTATAAATGACCACACAAAGCTACAGAACAGTGAAGAAGAACCTGTTCTAAATCAGGGAGGTGTATCTGTACCCACTAGATGCCAGTGGCCCTCCCCTAGTTATGAAAAACAAAAATGTGTCCAGACATTGCCAAATGTCCATGGGGGGAGGGGGGCAAAATCACCCTGTTTGAGAATGAATGGAATAGATTGAAATAAAGCTTTTATATGTACATAGGTACTATGTTTCCTCCTATAGTTCTGATTCCCATATCAGTCTTTCAAATGATCAGTCTTTCAAATGATCTATTTTTGTAAGTCATATATAGTCCATGGCACACATAAATGTGAAGTAAAACAATTACTTAATTGAAATATATTAACCAGTTGGCACAGCTAAGAAAAAAGAGCTACCAGTTATTCTATTAATTCCTTCCTGTACTCATTAAATCAGATGACTGGATCATTTGAATATATTCACTAAGTTTGATTCTGCTGTTGGGCCTGAAGCGTCAGAAATACTTCCACACTTATCAGATAAGATGTGTGAATGTTTGTAGAATAAGTGAATTCACAGTTGTCAAAGTTCCTCAAATTTTTTTCATGGATATTTGTAACCACTTTTCCAAGTAACTTATTTTTACTTTTGCAATATTCAGGCTAACTTCTGATTGGGTGTAGAATTATTTTTTCCCTTAGGATGCTTTCCTTCAAATCAGATAGTCATCATGTTATAAAGGGCTTTCGAACAGTGATTTAACATTGCTTACTATCTTTGTTTACCAGGATGGTTTACAAAAAAATCTCAGTACCAAAAGGTTTTTCTCTGTTAGAATTTAATCTTCATGCCGTGAAAAGATGGTTTAAAGTTTACTTTTTATCAGATAAACACAACTTTTTATGTCTATAAAGTGGTTCTATATATTTTAACAAACTCATGCAAAATTCTGAATTTTTCAACATTTCAGTCAAATTAAGAATATAAAATCTCAAATATTAGTAGTAAAATTTTTGCTTTTCGAAAGACCCCTTTTGTTAAGTGTAGTTTGGAATAATGTTCCATTCAGAATAATAGTCTAATCTTTGTTGGGAATTAATGTCAATGTCGTTAAACTGGCTATACTGCTGACTGTGAGCAGGATCGCTAATTATTACAAAGAAGGGGCACGTAAATGCAAATAATGTAGAAATGATTAGGCCCCGTAGCAGAACTAAAATATTCCACCAAGAAATAAAACCACATCAGCAGCTCTTAGGTGTGGAGATTGGAGATTTTTGGCTACCACTACAGAAATATTTTGGAATTTGTTCATATGTAGTTCAAATGATACAATTCCAGGGCCAATAAAGCCCTTTCACTTAGGGAAATGATAAGCTTTTTATTTTTAATTTTTCCAGTGTTTTGAAATAAAAACTGTACTTCCCGCTGTTTGTATACAAATGGTTTGTTATATAGTTTTGGAATAGAACATTTAGAGCTACATGAGAAACATTTGGCAAAGAGTTGTGTGAGAGAACTGTACATTATTTTTCAGAGCAAATGAAAATTCATGTCTGATACACTGGCCCCTTAAGTCTTGATATACCCAAATTGGAACAGTTGTATTGTCTTCTTCCATACAAGGGAAATGAGGTCTTCTTGAAAAAAAAATCACTTACAGACAGAATAGTCTATGTACATGTTCTGAAATGGTTGACCTTGAATCTTGTTCATTAAAATGATCATCAGTAATTTTGTATTTTTGATTTTTGGGGATATTATATAAAATGGATAAAATGGAAGGGATATTTAATTATCAAAATTATGTTCCTTAACAATTCATGGAAGAAAAAATTTCGTATGTCAAAAAAGAAAAACCATTCAACCTCTAAATAATCGAAGAAAGGCAAATTAAAATTTCTCATCTATCAAAGTAGAAAACACTTCCAAAATCATGCTAAATGATGTGGAAAATGTGAAGAGATGGGCATTTTTTTTCCCTGCCACTGTAATAATCTATACAAACTTCCTGACCTAGGGACATTTTGCCAAATAGATTCTAAGAAAACAATCAGAGATTTAGGCAACTTTTTCTAAAGGTGATTGGGATTGCATTATTAGTTCCAGAATACTGAACTATATTTTAGTTTATTTTTTGATAGTATATTATTGAGTCATTAAAGTCATTCATTCGGTATGTTTAGTAACAAACAACAAAGTTATTGATATGAATTTAAGTGAAAAACCTTAATAAAGGCTTATGATTGCAAATTTTCAAAAGGAAAGTTAAAATTTTATAAACAACAGCAAAAATTTTCTCAGTGCTAGCAATGATTATATTTCTTAGTGAATATAAAAGGTGGTGTTTGATCCTTGTAGATGTTTTTTTCTAAAATTTAGAAAATTGATTAATTATTTTTAAAAGTGAAAGTAAACATTTGATAAGAAAACTTATTGTATGTTTAAGTGAAAGTCTACTTTGTGCCAAGAAAAGTTATTCGATTTCCAGGAGAGGTTTAAACCTGGGCTTATAGGAGCTCATTTCAAAGTCTTTGAAAGCTGGGCTCCAAAAAGAATAGTCTGCATTCTTTCCAAATATAAACAGACAAAAAACAATAACTGCCTGCTTGCATGGCCCAGTTTCTGTTTGTTTATTTGAATCTTTAGCGTGTACCTGGGGAGTTAGTATGGGGTCTCATTGCCTGTCGTATTTCCATATCTAACGTTGATGTACAGTTTTTATTTCTGCACAACACAGCTCACAGAAATAAGTAATTGAAAATAGAAGATGCATTCTTACATGTTACTCAGTTATTGGGAAAAACTGAGTTGCATGCCAAAAATTAGTGATTTTTCATGAAAAATTATTTTTAATGATTGAGCAACTAATAAACTATGCCTTTTCTCAGTGTTCTTCAACAAAGAATTGGCAACCAACTGAGATAATACAAAGGGTTGAACTGTCCAATCAGACTTACCAATATCACAAGTCTTGTCCATATCCAGTTTTCCTAATAATTTCAAGAATACTTCCCATACACAGGATGGGGTGGTCCTGAACCCCTGGAACAGCTTACTAAACTCCTTCTGGATCTGACATTCTCTGAAACAGATTAACATAGAAGGTTCATAAGGAGAGTTTATGGTCACTCTGCTCACACAAAAGTAGCCACTTTGTCATGGAACAGCTCCATTTTATACTCAGATATTGCATTTAGTTAATGTGACATTTTTCCAGAGAACTTGGCCCTGTAAGTCCATGGATTGCCAGTTTGTCTGTCACAAGCAATCCTAGACAACCAGGAATATTCTGCTAAAAGCATCCCATGACTAAGAGCTATCTACCAAAGATACATGGTTAATTTGTATGTCACAAGGTCTGTTATTAGTATGTTCACAAAGAAATCAGACTAAGTTACCTGCTCTTTGCATTCCCAAGACCCATCCACCTACAAAGGAAAGTGATGGACTGCAGACTTTGCTGCAAAAGTGAAAAAACCATCGGACATATCACATAATGGGAAAGACCAGTTGTTCCCTGACAAAAAAATCACTCAAATTATACTTCCTCTTTGAAAGTTTTACTTCTTTTTTCAGTTAAAGCAAACATGTTAATAGCATTCACTTTGCCACCACCTCATTTGTAAATGTACATTATAAAGATGCAACTTGAAAGTCCTACAGTTAATAATATTTACTGTTTTAAGGCAAATCCTAAATTAATGTTAATTTGGACTCAATTTAATTTAATTTTTTTTGCAATCAAACAGTTCCAAAATTGTAATATAACTTTAAAAAGTGATTATCTTAATAAAGCTACTATGGGGCCTAATTATTGCAGTATCCTCATATTTAGAGATAAAATACACAGTTGTGAAAATCCCCTCACCAATCATAGTCCTAGGAGGTCTTAAAGCAAATAACAATTAGATTTGATCTCTTTGTTAGAACAGTATATAAAAATGATTAACTGGTTATGATAGGAAATACCTATGATCTGATCAAACTAAAAGATCTATATTTTATGTACCTTCATATTTGCCACCATCTGCCATACAATTTCTAAATGTTTGTGCACTCCATGATATACTTCATGAATTACAAGCCCTTAGGAAACAAGTGATGAGATAAGGAAGGACAAACTCTAACCTGACTGTTTGGTACTTTGGTTATAAAGGGCTCAACTGACATACATATTTTGAGTTATCTTTCTATAGTGTACTACTGCATTTTACCTAATTCTTGGAAATGCATCATAGTAATTTTAAAGATAGATAAGATAACACTTTTTTTTTTTGTAAAGTGGAGAAAAGAGATTATGAAAGGGAAGATAGAAAAAGAGAATGGCCAAGACATCTCTATCGTGAGTATTCTTTAGGTAGAGCAGTTTTAGGAAAGAACACATACAAAAGTTGGTGGCTACTCTGTGATATGACTTACAAAACTGCAATGACCCAGTTTGATGACCACTATGTTAAAGAATTAGAATAACTGACTGAATATTTTTAAATATATCTGACTAGATAATTCATAACTATTAGCACCTAAAAAATATTTCAGTTGTTCAGCAGAGCTCTGAGGGAGTTCTGATCTGCCTTTGACTACCTACAATGTGGGGAAGAAGGACCAGAGTGAGGAAAAGTACCAGAAATGAAGATGTATGACTTGATTACAAATTTACAGTATTTTGGGATTTTTTTTAGGTAATTAAAGCTAGTTGAGACTTTGAATTTTTTTGACTAAAAAGAATGAAGTTAAATCTTGGAGCTCAATGTCAGTGTCTGGTATCATACAACATAAAAGTGCCAATGTTGGAACTTTTGATTACTGTCCAATGTTTAATTAAATAATATCCATAGAAATGTACAATGTCTATTTATATGATCTATGTTCCATTTCTAGATATTATGGTATCTTTTCTTTTTGACAAAGACTATTTGGTAGTCTTTCAATTAAGATTTTGTCTAGTTCCCTTTCTCTCTCAAAAAGAGCTTGTATTATTGGATGCATAAAAATAGTTAACATGCAACATTTCCTACTTTGTGGTATTGATATTAGGCCCAGATTAAAGTATGTATTCTGGTACCTTTAATTTGAGAACTGATTACATATTAAATTAAGCAATCTAGATTGCTGTCCACTTTATTCAATTTAAAATGTTACAACAAAAAAGTTTAAAAATTGTCTAAAGAAGACAAATTCCCACTTTTCTATGCCACCAGTCATTATTCTGTTTCATATAAAACTTTGGGGAAAAAGTTTGCTTCTGCAATTTTGAACAATTCTGCTATTTTCTTTACCAATAAGAAGGAAGGATTTTTTATTCTTAATCATACACTGAAAGGAACTGACTTCTGCTGTTATCAGATTAATCTTACAATAGTTATTTCCTTGAGCAGCCATCAAATGCATAATATTAGCATAAACCCATAACTTTGCTTTTCACTTTGGCCAGTATTAAGATTATGTGCCATCTGATTCACAGGCAGGTTTACAAGCATCCATCAAGTTTAAATATATTTTAGACTCTAAAAATAAATGGCTCATCAGCTTTTTATTAACTCTTATGTCATGTATATTCAGACATATAGACACATGGTCAAAACAAACATCGCTTAATCTTACGGGAGTATGCAGGATTTAAATGGAATTTGTGTAAGATGTGCAACCATTTAGAAACTGGCAATAGTAGTAAAACACACAGTCTTGAAAAGAAAAGAAAAATATGATCGGGGATAAGAATTTAAATATCCATGTGTTTTGCAGATAAAAAGCTGATATATGATTGAATTTGAGGCTAAACTAAGTTATGATAGGAATGGACCTATATATATTTGTCCTTTATAGATAATAAATAGAGGTAGAAACACATGTAAGAGAATTGTTCTGAAATGTGAGTGTCCTTTCACATTTTCACTTCAATAATAATAGATGATGGTAACTTCCATTCTCAAATAACATCATTGCTATTAGTTACCCTAAGTATAATGAGAATCTTTGTAAAAAGATGCTCATTTAAAAAATAGTAATATTTTAAGAAAGTTGGAAGATATATCACATAGTCAGGACATCTGCTTGATTTAAACTATGCCATCTTTTTTCTTCATCTCAGACGGCAAAGGAGAATATATGAAGGAATTAATTCATTTGTTAACCTAATATATATCTGGTGTCCACCAGGCATTCTTCTAGATCCTGGACATGGACTGAGTTCAAAATAGACAAGATTCACAGCATTTGGTATTTATAATCCACTAGACAAGAGAGATAATAAATATGTAATTAAATAGATAATTACATTTCAAGTAATGTAAAGTGCTATAAAGACAAAAAAAAAGCCTATAGAAAGGAGAATAAAAAGAGGTGCGATGTTAATAAGTTAGTCAAGGAAGGTCCCTCCAAGAAGTGGCCTTGGAGCAGAGATCTAAAAGCTGTGCTACAGAAAGTCATGCTACTACCCAGGAAGTCTTTCAGAAGAAAACAGCATAATTCCTGTGAGGAGAAGCATGTCTGAGGAGTGGAAAGGAAGTCAATATAATGAGGCACACAGAAATAAAGAGAAAAAGGGAAGGAAATTAGGTCAGAGCAATAGCCAAGGGTAAGATTTGTAGAGTATTACAAACCACAGGAAGGACCTTAAATTTACAAAGAGATCCTAAGAAAATCTCAATTTCAAACATTTAAGGTAATCCCCAAATTAAAAAATTAGCAAAATAAAGGGCAATATATATGTATTTAAATAATTTTCCCTTAATGATCTACTCATTCATATGATGAATAGATTTTACAGATTTTAGGATCAGATCCACAGCTATTTAATAAGTGCAGATATAAGATGTACAAATAGGATAGCCCACTGTTTCTTATAATGAAATAAAAGATTTAAAGAAAGGTCAAATCAAAAACGAATTTCATGGTGACAGAAAAAAGGATGGCTGTGTAGGAAGGCAAGGCAACAACTCCTCTCAAAATGACATAGAACACCAGAACACAGCAAATACAGTCAGGCCTGAAATCCACCTAGAGACTGTGGAGCTGACCACCTACATCTGAGAAAGAAGAAACGACCGTACAGAAAAGAAAAAGTGGCAAAGCTGCCATCTGGCAGGATCAAGCCCTCCCCAACCTCAGCCCAAAGGCAAGAGGAAGTGTAACAGAGTGGGTAGAGAGTGGGAGCCCAGGACCCCGAGCACCCAGCCCTAGAGATCTGCTCTGGCAACATGAGCCCACACTGCACATTGCCCAGGTGAATGGAGGACTGGGCAACAGAGAGGGGCAGAACACCTGGGGAGGCTGGGCTCCCACCACTTGTGGAGAACAGGCATGCTCTACAGCCATGAGAAAGAAAGCAGAACAGGCAGTTTGAAGGACTTCCCAGCAGTGAGAGGGGCTCCAGAGGGGCAAGGATTACACAGGACTCTGTTTAGAGGAAAGGTCGGGTGGACAATTCCTCCCCAGCATGCCCTCAGCCCAGGAGGTTGGGAGCCCCCAGGAGATCCACTCTATTCACTCACTGGCAGCACAGCCCAGAGTCTTCTCGCAGTGATGTGCTGGCCTGCTGGCAGGCAGCAAAATTGAACTTTACACCCAGGGAGGCAGGTGGGGAAACTCCCAGTCTGCTCAACCCTATTTTGGGCCAGCTGGGAGCTGCATGCCAGAACCAGCCCTGGGAGCTTTTCCATCCCGGCAAGTGACAATCCTGTTCCCCAGGAAACTCACCATTGCAGCAGGCCTGATGGGGCAGCGCCGGCCCAGCAGCCAGCACGCATACGCAGCCCACACAGTGTGATCTTTCCTCTGGCAGCTACTGGTCCCACTTGCCAGCACCCCACCATGGCAGCAGGCCCGGACAAAAGCTCCAGACATTAGTGAGCCTGCTCCCATGATCAGTTGACACATGGAGGCTTAACAACATGCTCCTAAATAATCAATTTCTCAATGACCAAACAAAAAACAGAGATCAAACAATATATGTAGACAAATGAAAACAATAACTCAACACAGCAAACTCTGTGGGACGCAACAAAGGCCATGCTAAGCAGGAAGTATACTGCAATACAGGCTTACCTCAAGAAAGAAGAACAATCCCAAATGAATAGTCTA